TGTCTACAAAATGGTTTATTTACTTTTGAGTTCTGACTTTTTCAAAAATTTCTGCAAATAAAACAAAATCATAGAAAAACGTCACGGAATTACGTACGCAGGTAGAGTTAGCTGGCCAGGCCGTTAAGGTATCTTCAATATTTATTTTTAATTTTAGTTGATTCTTATATAATTTAGATATAGTGATCAACGAAGATTTGATCTCGATGGTACAGAATTTTATAATGAATCAGAATATCTTTCAGAACAATATCCAATAACATCAACAGCTGTTATTTGGTCACTTGGTGTTATTTTTTATTTTTTAACATACAGAAATGCACTCAGTATTGGTTCATCCTATCCTTTACCAGATCTTCCACCTACTCATTCTCCACTTGTTCAAAATATTGTTCAATCTTGTTTACAAAAAAATCCCAATGGACGATCAACAAATCAATGGCTCGCCCAATATCCATTGACAAATAGTAATGCTATCATTTAAATTTTTACAATAAATTATTCAAGTTTATACTCTCTTTTCATCATCATTAATTCTTTTTCTTTTGAAAATATATTATAGATTATAAAGATCAACTCTATATGAAAAGTTTATTCTGGATTAGATCAAAAAACATTAAGTAAAAAGTTTCGACATTTATCTTGAACCCGTTTTATATTTGTTGATGGTCGCATATTATGTATGGATCGTTGAAAATCACTAATATATTTTGGATATGTTTGTCCTTTTTCATATAAAATAAATTCACAATTCAGTCGCAATTGATCACCATCATTTTTCATACTTTCACCCATTACTGAATCATATAAATCACCCATACTATTTGGTTTGACTGGTGGTCGACATACATAACTTCTTTGACCATTATTATTAATTGCATCACGATATTTATTTCTATCAGATGTTTTTGCTATATGTACATCGCCTAGTATAACACGATAGAGTATCATTTTAAAATCAATTTGTTCTTGATTAAGGCAAGTACATTCAATTTGAGTTGATATTGCATTTTCACCACAGCGAGGACATGGAATGTATTGATTTGATTTAGAAGAATTCTCTGCTAAATAGAAACCACCATCAAACATTCCTTCTAAATTAGATACACGAGGATCATAACCAGCCAATACTAATTGAGCTGTTGTAGGGTGATTACAACCATAAAATAGCCAATATTCATTTGATTGTTTATCTGATAATGGTGTTAATAATGGTTTCATTTCAAGATATTTTGAACTATCACAACCTGGTATTCTATGACGATTTTTACCAATAATATTATCCTATAAATAACGCTCGTCGAGGGTGACTCGCTTGACTCTCAACTGAATTATAAATTGAAGATAAAATAAGCTTCATTCATGTTTTTCATAGAAAAGATAGAAACATGTGCCCAGAAATGGCTTCACGAGAATTGTCCTCACTCATCTCACAGTCTTCCACAAACGAATTTGAGAGACTATTACTGTGCTTCTTATTTATCGAATGTTTCTAAATGGAAATTACTATCTCAATGGAACGGCAATCGACTCAGAGCGGCTGTTGTGATCTTTCCATTCTTAAACATGTTTTTTTTTCATCAAGACAAGGATGAATGCTGTGAACTAGCATAGGTTTGTTTATGAATTTTAAATTTAAACCTGCTCGATTTTTTATTGGCATAACGAGAAGTGCAACCGAGAGCAGATAGTGGTTCGCCGGCGCCCCTATGGGGCGCTACTCACGACTAGCTGCTCCGAAGCCCCGATCTCGAAACATACTGTCCTATTTTATCAGTCATGATGCTAATTGAACAGTTTTTATCGAACTAATACCGAACTGCACAAATTTATGAGGCCAAAATCTGATCCTTCGACTTCAATTAACTCTCTTATACGTGCTGAAAAAAAATTTTAAAGCGAGAACTACTGTAAGTCATGATGGCCGCTAATCATTCGTGATACTATCTTCGTATAATAAGTCGATAATGGGCACAGCGGAATGGAAGATGGTATGTGAGCTATAAAAATACATGAGTGAAAGAAAGACTGTTAAGGAAACAAAAAGAATTAACTCCGAATTTGAAACAAAGCCTTCTCCATTTTCTAAACGTCCTTAAACAGAAGTGCTACCGAGAGCACTCCGAAACCGTCCCAATCTTTCACGTGACTCTCCTGTTTTATTACCCACGAAACCTCACTGAGCAGTTTTTATGACCTCCGTACGTGACTAGTTCGTTTCATGGCCCTCGATGCCTGATTGGTCGATTTTGAGAAGCTGACAATTTTTTTTTCGTGTGACCTTTGACCTCTGCAAGTAAGCAAGCAAACAACTCATTTTCGTTTTTTTCGTATCACCCTCCTTTCAGTTGAGGGAATAAATAAAAGTTTCCATATAAAAAGTGTGAATATTGATGATAAGATCGAAATAAATTTTTACTTTTTTATAACAATATTTATGCCATAAATTAGCATTTTGTATTCGTGTAATTTTTGTAACTATAAATTCTGTTGAATCTTGACCATAAATAGATCCACATTTATTACCATGTATTGTTATAGTAGCATTAACTAAATCCTTAATAATTTCAAATTCTGGTGATTGATTTGGTATTTTTATTTCACGATATAATTCTGTCAGAGATGGGCGAGTACGCAGATTCTCGAGTACGAGTACGAGTACGAGTACTGGGTGTCGAGTATGAGTATGAGTACGAGTATTTTCTAAAAAGTACTCGAGTACTTTTCAGAAAATACTCGAGTACGAAATTTTTTAAAAGACGAGAATACTCATGAAAAAAGGTTTAGCTGCCTAACAATGGCCATTTTCAATATC